TCATTGTATTTGTTATATTAAATGCTCTTTATTTTATAAAGTGCCAACCATGTTACAGAAAATAGATTCACAATAAGATTCATTTAATATGATGCCTTAATATATGTGATCTTGTTAAAAGAACTTCTGTACTAAACTCATGCATAAGTGTAAATATGGCTCATATAAAGTTATTTGTCCCTTCTTCCCCACTCCTCTCTGAAGTTTTATCTTAAATGATGACAATCACAGATTTGTTTGTAAAAGTCTATTTTACTGTTTCTTCTAGATAGTGCTGGGTTTATTTATTCTGAAATTTACAGATTAGAATGGGAAACACCTATATCGTTTACTCTAGCCCCTTATTTTATAGATGAAATTCATTGAAGTATTAAAAGGTGTAGCCCATACAAATAGACTTGTCCTAAGGTAGCACTGATGCTGTAAGGTAATACTCTATGCATTTCAGATGCTGTCCGTATAAAATTCAGATATGCCTGAAAGAGGAGGAAAAAAATGGAAAGGATGAGGGACTTACAAAAAGAGAAAAGAATTGAGATGTATTATGTACATGTAGCCACTCCCCATGATAATGGTAATATGTACGTACCCTAGATGTTACTAAAAAGTATAAAACTTGATTCAGTTTGCTATCATTTAAGTAAAAGTGTCAATATATTGTCATCCTTAATTTTTTTCCCCCTAATAGGCAGGGTCTTAGACCTATTCCCGAAGCAGAAATTGGATTGGCAGTTATTTTCATGACTACAGAGAATTACTGTGATCCTCAGGGCCGGTCCCACACAGGTAATTAAAGCATTATTTTATTGATTCTTTAGCAACTTTCTTGTATAAATTGATAATAGACTGTACTTTACAGTTATGGTTGCCAACTGTGAGCATATGTTTTCTTTCTAAACTCATCTCTTTATACATTTATTTACTTAAGAAATAGCTCTGCTGTGTACTAGAAATTATTCTCCGTATCAAAAATTGATTGGTGAATAAAGAAGGTCACAGTTCTTCTCAACTTTATATTCTAATGCTCAAGATTCAAACAGTAAGCAAACACATAAGTTTGGGTACAAATACAAAAGGAAAGTAAAGCAAGGTGAAGTGATAGTGTCAGAAAGCACTCTTCTAGCCAGGTGGTCAGGCGAGGTCTCATTAAAAATGCAATGTTTGAGCTTTGTGCATCCTAAATGAAGGGAAAAGGCAGAACCTTGGGCACCTGGCATCATTTCTGGTAGAAGGAACAGATCACTGTGTCATGGAAAATAGATTGTAGGGGTCCAAACTGGAAGTGGTATATGAATAGAAACCTATTTTGGAAGTGCTTAGAGAGATAGTCACTGTTCTCCTTCAACTAGAGTTGCTCAAAAGCATTTAAAGGGGGCCAAGGAGATGTCTTGGTAGAATAAGTGCTTGCCTGGCAAGTGCAAGGGCCTGAGTTCAATTCCTGGTTCCGTTAAAAAAAAAAAAAAAACCTTGAGGAAAAGAATGTGTGTTAAGCACGTACAATTTTTTTTTCTTGTCTAAATAATATAACTATTTACTTAGCATTTACATGGTGTATTGGGTAGTGTAAGTAGGGAGATGATTTAATATATATATGAAGATATTTAAGTTATTTGCAGACACGATCTCATTCTATATAAGGGACTTGAGCACCATCTAACTGGGAATTGGAGGATTCTGGAACCAATCCTCTGGATACTAAGAAATGACTATTCTTATACTTTTTTTTTTTAAGAAATAAGTTGACCTTGGTATAATAGATTGTATCTACAGTTAAATCATGATAGCTTTTTGAACAGGAGCTGGAATATTTTTAATACATTAGTTTACAAACAAATCTATGATTGACTTACAGAAATCTGCCCTGTTGTAAAGTAACTGATAGGTGGACTAAAGTGTATTGTCATGTGCTTGGCTTTGCATACACTTCTGACCTGTCCTAGCACGCTAGAACAATCTTCCCAGTAGTGCTTAAAGGTCAGAGTAGAATCTTTAAGATTTGTCCTAAAAACCAAAATTAAGGAACAGCAATTGCACTTTCCAGAAAGGGAATCAGACCTAAAACTGTGGCTACATCATTCACCAGCTATGTAACACTGAAACATTACCCGAGCTTTATTGTTCCTCTTATTTCTCACTGCTGACAAAAATAGTACTGTCTTCTTCGCAAGAAATTTTTTTCATTTTTTTAAAATGTATTTGGTACAGGATCTCTCTACACAGCTCATACACACAGTGATCCTCCTGCTTTCAGCCTCCCCGGCTCCAGGATTACAGGCATGTGCCCAGACTGTGGCCAGCTCAGCGAGCCCTGGGGATGAGGCCAGTGCATCATGTGGTGCCAGGGATCGAACCCCAGACCCTGGGCTTGCCTAAGCAGGCCCTTAATCTGCTGAGCTACCTCACAGGCCCACAAACTTGTTATAAGGACACCACGAAATTCTCCATGACTGTGTCAGGGAAATAGTAGACATCCTCTAATTCTTTGTTGCATGTTAATCCATTCTGTCATTTTTTACTTGAACTGAACCATTAGATAAATTCTTTAATCACTGTCATCTTGGTTGTTTGCACTGATAAGATCAACATAAATGAAAATAAAGTCACATCTCCTATGAAAAGGAAAAAAAAAAGAAAGAAAGAAATAAGTTGACCTTGGGGCTGGAAAGATAACTCAGAAGTCTAAGTGCCTGCCTGGCCAGTGCAAGATCCTGAATTCTGTCCCTGGTACTGCAAGCCATGCCAGCCCTGAAACCGGACATGGTCGTGCACCTGTAATCCCCAGTGCTGGGGAGGCTGAGACAGGAGGATCAGCCAAAGTATGTAGCAAGACCCTGTATTAAAAAAATAAATAAATAAAAACTAAAGAAAGAAATAAGTTGACTTTGCTGTTATAAAGATGATTTATTTTTCCTTTCTTGGCTTTTTTTTTTTTCAGTACTAGCAATCAGATCCAACCCCTTAAGCATGCTAGGCAAGCACTCTGCCACTGAACTACATCTTTGCCCCTTTTTAACCTTTTTTTGTTTGTTTGTTTGTTTAATTTTGAGACAGAATTTTACTAAGTTGCCCAGGCTAGCCTGATCTTGCGTTCTTCTTGCCCTAATAGGCACATACCACCATACCTGGCTTTGAACTTTTCTTTGTCCTTCACGTTAAGAGAGTTTTGCATTTATTGTTTTTAGCAATTTTCTCTTTCTTTGTGTAACTACCAAACCATCCACTCTAGTGCTGTGCACATTTATTTCCTTCCTGAGTTCTTTAATTCTTAGCATTTACTGGACTTTGTTTAACTAAGTGATTTTTACCTCATTTTTACTCTACAGTCCAGCAGTATATCTTCTGAGGGCTCTGCCTTCCTTGGGCTAAATGACAAGGAATATATCAAGCTAGATTTTGGGAGGAGTGAATCATTTAGACCCTAAAGACCAGAAATTGATTAGGTTTGTAGATCATTAAAATCATTATAATTAAATTTGCAAAACAGTCCCTATGAGACAGAGGACATCATATACATCTCTCATGTACAGAGATTAAGCAACTTGCCAGAGGTTACATATCAAGTAAGTCATTCACATTGACTCTTTTAAGTCAAAGGCATTGTGACATTACGTTGCATTACAGATAGCTTATATTTTGGTGCTGCATTGAGAAAAGATAATCTGGAACGATGGAGCATAGAGAAATAGATAGCCATTGCTTTAAAAATATGTCAGGATAGTATTTTATTATTTGAATAAGAATGTTTAATAGACCTAACATTGTAGCTCAGTGTTGAAGTGCTTGACTAGCATGCATGAGTCCTTGGGTATGATCACCAGCTCCACAAAGATGGGGAAAAAAGAGATGAAAATTAATGCACAATTTAAAAAAAATTTTAAATGCTACCAAAGTTGAGGAAAGTTAGAGATTTATAGCTACTTTATGGCCAAGCAAATCCTAAAATTTGGCTTTCTGACTACCAGGCCAGCACTTTTTCTTATGTGTTATTTCATACAAAAGCAAAGTTATGTGGGTCAATAATAGTATTACTTCTTTCACATATTCATAGGTAGATTTATATGGATTCCAAGTCATGAGCCTGTGTCAACAGTTTTATAGCAGCCAGTTTTGGGAGAACCCAGTGAATGCATGCTTCTTTCTCTTCTTCCTTCTTCCTGGTTTTTTTTTTTTTTTTTTTTTACTTTTCATATTTGTTCATTCTTTTAGTCAGTATTATTTATTGAGCTTGTGTTATATAATAATAATCATGCTGGAGATGAGCGTGTGAGTAGATCAGACCAAATTTCTATGTTATGGTACTTTTAGGAAAGAGAACATTATGTAGATAATCCATTGTTAAAAAACAACTAATCCAGTCATTTTAGGTCATTAGGTTAGCTTATAAATGTTTCTTTTTAATGATTATTTAAACATTTATCATTTTTACTTTCTACAAACTTCTGTGAAAGCTAAAATGAATTGTTGAGTTACTGTTCCTTTAGGGAAATGTCTGAGCTTCTAGTTGACTTAACGTCAGGATGATGACAATAGTCATTTAAATATCTGAATTTAGAATCATTAATAAACATTTATTAGGTACCTTCTATGTCATTAGTACCTAATAGAATGATATTGTAGTATAGGTACTTGGTAAATGTCAAATTTTAAAATCTTTCAATTAACAGTTGAACTTCTCTACTTTTTTTAATACCAAATATTGCTTTAAGAGTTAGAGATATAAAAATGAGAGATAATCTTTAAGTCTAATAAAGCCAAGTACCATAAAGTGAAGAGAATGATAGCAGCTAACATTGGTAAAGTACTTACTATGTTCCAGGCACTTTTCTAAGTGCTAACTATGTATCAGTTTTTTTTTACTCTCAGAACAATTCTGTGAGAAAGGTATGGTAGTTATTCCCATCTTACAGATGAGGAAACTAAAGCTTAGAGAAGTTAAATGTTATAGATCACAGAGCTAATGATACATGATTTTACTACAGTAATTGGCAGAGTACTATTCACACTGAAACAAGGAGCACCTAATTCAGTGCAGAAGTATACTAGGCAGCTTTCAATCTCAAACACAAAATACCTGACACCCACAGTTTAAGGAAGTGCAGGGTTGATTTGGCTCACAATTTCAAGGGTTGTAGTCCATGGTCAGCTGACTCCAAGACAGCAGCTTCATAGTGGAGAAAGTGATGGAGTAAAGCTGTATCCAGAAAGCAGGGCAGGTGAACAGTGCCACAGAAGAATGAGCCAGGGACTGGATAGAGTACCTGGGGTCATGTCCCTATGACTCACCCACACACATCCAGAAGTATGCTTTACTGTCCTCTAGGTGCTCCCAAGACAGTCTATTTGAAAATCAATTTGACTGTCACAGGAAGTCTCAAAAGATATATCCCAAGTTGCTATTCTAGTAAGTAAATGATGAAGTAGTCTTTGTAGTTTATAGAGTAGCAAAAATGTCAACTGTTGTAATATGCTTTCATTTCAATAATGTGTTTCTTTTCAAAATAGAAGTTCATTGGTTGTGATTTATGTAGACGTAAGGTGAATGTACTTTCTTTGGGGGATAAATGTGTTTGGTCTGCTGCCTTAAAACAACATTTGCATTTAGGTGGATTTTATTTTTTATTAAACTGGTAGTATTTCACAGCAAATATTTGATGTATTTTTAAAATCATTTGGTTTAGATAAGTCTGTCATAGGGCTGGGGAGATAGCTCAGTGGTCTAAGCATTTGTCTGGCAAGTACAAGAACCTGGAGTTCGATCTCCAGTATCACATGTCATGCCAGCCCCATGGGCCCTTCTGTGCAGGCCACTGAAACCGGGCATGGTGGAGCACGTCTGTAATGTCAGTGCTGTGGAGGCTGAGACAGGAGTATCACTATGAGTCCGGTCTGCATAGTGAGACCCTGTACCAAATAAATAATCAAGTCCATAATGAATGCTAGCAGGCTAACAGGATATTTTCTATGTAGTTTTTGTTAAGTAGTTAGTTGTGCTGACTGGAGACAACCATGAGGTATATTGCCCAGCAGGCAATGGATGCTGTAATCCCCTCAGCATGGCATGGTCTCAACACTTTTCAGTGATCAGATGTCCATTTTTTGTTGGGTAATTGTGATTTTTTTTCTTTTCACTTACATGATGTGCAGGATTAAAGACAACAACTCCAGGGCCAAGCCTTTCACAAGGGTGGTCAGCTAATGAAAAACTAATGCCAAGTGCTCCTTTGGATGCTACAACATTGGAAACTGACACAGAATGGGACCAGGCTGATACATGGTAAACTGTTCGTTAACAAGAATTGTTTTTATTTTATCAATAAATAATTACTGTGTTCCAGAAGAAAAGTTAGTGTCATTATCCACTCATCTCAAGAGATACAGTTTGGATGAAAGGGATGCTAGGGAAAATAATAGGAGTAGAGTTAGCAGGTTTCTGTAAGGAATCAGTGAGGAAATGCTATGTATTGGGGGCTCTTTGCCTGTCGTCACTACCTACTCCATGGTTAGCATGGAAGTTGCCATGGACATCTTTTAACTGAATAAGTATGGCTCTGTTCCAGTAAAACTTCATTTACAAAGCAAGTGATATATCTGATTTGATTTACAGGCTATAGTTAGCCAACTTTTTTTTAATTTTTGGTTTTGTACTAACATACATGAAAGACTTGTTACTTGAACAACAGCTTTATCCCTATGGGTTTTCTTTGTGTATATGTTTAGACAGTTGGGTTTTTTTGGTGAAAGAATACCAAAGATAGTATTTGTTCAAACATATTTTGTAAATCTGGGGGCGGGGGTTTAAATATTTTTTATGGTGGTCTAGAGCTTTATACTAGAAACTGCTGTATGGGTAGATACATCAGTTCATCCAAAATAATATAAATATCCCACTGTGTGATATTAAGTAACAAGTTTATTTTGATTTTTCACTTTTATTGCCGTACTTTTACATGGAAATAATTTAAAATTACGAACTAAAAACAGGAAGTGTGTAGGATTATCACTTATTAAGTTATAATCAATAATTATACCTTATTGTAGGATAATCAGTGGATATTCCATGTATATTTGACAGTTGTTATAGGTGAGAGTAAGACCTGTATGGGATGCAGAAGGGTAAGATATCGCTCTTCCTTGGGGCATTTAGATGACAAAGGGTCTTCCTGGAATGATGAAATCTGTTCACTGAATTATTATCTAAAGATGATCTTTTAAGGGCTGGACAAATAGCTCAGCAGATTAAAGCTCCTGCAAGCAGGTGCAGGGTGCAGAGTTCGATCCCTGGGCCTGCTGTGCCGGCCCTGCTCCTGGGACATGCTGAGACAGTTGATTAAGACTAGGCGTGGTGGCAAGCACCTATAATCTCAACACTTGGGAGGCTCTTAAACAGGTGAATTACTAGGTATCTGATCTAGTAGTGAAACCCTGAACACCCTGAAGACCCTTCCCTAAAATACAGGGGGAAAAAAAGAAAAAATCTATCAAAGTTACCTTACATTAGAACTGTTGAAGAATCTTTGTTTTTGGATAAAAAATGTTAACTTGACAGTTACCTTGGATTCTTTTCTTTTGTTACAGTATGTATTCTAATGGAAAGCCAAAAGAAATAATCTCCAGAATGGAACAAAAATTTGGAACATTGTCCCAAGAAATACCTGATGTAAAAGAACTCCCCAAAACAAGCTCCAATAACATAGTATCAGATACTGTAGGTAGGGCAAAAATCCAGAACTATCAGCTTTCACCACCTAAATTCTCCAGTGTAAATAAAAGAGATAGGGCTTCTCAACAGCAGCAGACAAATACCATTAGAAACTACTTTCAGCCATCTCCCAAAAAAAGGTATGTTTTAAGTAATTGCTCTACTATATCTCTGTAAATCTAGTATTTTTATATTGCTGTAGAGTAGTAGTCTTAGTTTGTTCTGTTTAAAGGTGTTTCTGGCAAAAGCTGTGGCCCTCAGGCTCACTCCCTCAGTAGTGTACCAGTCTACTCCTTCCTGAAACTATTAGACAGCCTTAACTGTATCTTACAACTTACCTGTTGTTTTATTTGCTACATTCTCTTGAAGAAGAATTCACTCATTCAGGTTTCCTAATCACCTTTCTGCCTATTTCCTTTGATCACCTTTCTTGTGAGGTAAAGTTACCTATTTTCCTCTGCCACCCAGGTTCTTATTATCAATGTCTTGTCAGGGCCTTCCTTGCTATGTGTATCTACTGCTGGCTCCTTCCTCCGACTGACCATCTGCATCATTACAAAAACTTCTCAGTCGGTCTTCCTGTGCAGTACCCTGATAATAAAATTTCACCTTTAATGTTCAAGTTCAGCATGAATCCAATAAGTTCCTAGAGAAAAGAGACTCGGGCCTGTATCTTCTCTGGGCGGTGGTACAGTCAATCCACTTAAACAGTGTTCAGTATGTACAGTATTGAATGAATGGTGCAGTGTTGTTTCAGATATCCTTAGTGATATATTCATATAATATTTGCAGTACACAGCTGATGCCATATTCTAGATTTAGTCACCTAGTTGATTATCTTGAATCTAGCTCTCATTAATTCATTAGGTTATATTCCTAGATTAATTTTTCCCTGCCCACAAGTTCTTTCTACATTATAATGTAAGGTGTTCTCTCCTGGCATTTTAGGTCCTTTTTTTTTTCTTTGTTTTCCTCCAGACAGTAGAATGTGTGGATTTTGTAGTGATTGATTGATTGATTGATTGATTGATTGATTGATTTCTGAGTCAGGATCTCTCTGCAGTTCAGGTTAGTTTTGAACTCGCCATGTAGACAAGGCTGGTGTCAAACTCAGTGATTCTCTTGCCTAAGCCCCTTTGCATGCTGGGATTACAGGCATGCACTACCATTCCTGACTCAGATATTTGTTGATTTCTAGTGTAATCAATGAATTAGAGCAGATTGAGAATTAAATGGAGGGAGTTGTAAATATTGCCAAATAAAAACTTTATGTAGCCATATTCATTTTCTGGTTTTGTTTTCTTTTTAAATTTAAGGGAAAGGGAGGAAGAAAACCAAGAAATGTCTTCATCCAAATCAGCAAGAATAGAAATGTCTTGTTCTCTTTTAGAGCA